TGAAAACACTGGAATTTAAGGAGGTTGAGTAACTTGCCCAAAGACACACAGCTTCTAAGTTGCTGACTTGGGATCTGAACTCAGGTCCCCCAGACTCTACAACCATACTCTCCTACCACTTTATGCTGCTATATTGACATCCTCTGTAGGGAATCGCTGTTAAGTTGGAAAATGCTAGAGGAAGGAACATAAGAAATGATTGTGGAAATGCTGACAGCGGTTAAACGACATAAGTAAAAACGCAACAAGGGCTTTGAAGTACGTGCTGTTGGGGCAGGAATGGACAGTGAATCTGGCTCCAAGTTCAACTGCAAAATCCATGCCCTCAGAAAAGGGAAACTGCAAACTTGGAACCTTGGAAATGCATATCACTCAGGGAATTTTAAGGTTTCAGAGATGGTGGGGCATTTCAGGGATAGAGACTCCCTGGATCTGAGCTCTGTGGGTTGGGTTTAGGCCAAAGTAGGAACTCCTTCTACATCATGAAAAGTCTTAATACGAACACCTTCTGTGGGTTTGTTTGGTGGGATCATTGATGGAGCAGGGAGGGGAAGGGCAATTAGGAGGTGTCCTGGGGAGCATTTAAACAGCCCACTGGATTCTGGCTTAACAAAAGTAACTCATAAATAACCAGCCTGTATTTGGAACTGCTTTACTTGACTCAAGAAGGCGTTTTCTTTCTTCTCCCTCCCTCCTTCCTTCTTTCCTTCCTTCCTTCCTTCCTTTCTCCCTCCCTCCTCCCCTTCCTCCCTCCTCCCCTTCCTCCCTCCCTCCCTCTCTCCCTCTCTCCCTCTCTCTCTCTCTCTTTCTTTCTTCTAGTTACTGTAGTGAGGGAGGTTTGGACCTCTTTGCAAGGGGTTCTGCCTCACATTTCTCAATACACATAAAGCTTCCTCTTTCCCCACCCTGCCCTCAGTGCCTCCCTTGTGGAGAGAGCGTTGCTTCCTTTGGCCTCATTACACCCCAGGGGCATCTCCTGAGGGCTGCAGGTTGGGGAGCCCTCCAGGGCTGTGCATCAGAAAGGTTTCTTCCTGCGGATTGTCTGCCTGGCCCTTGCACTTAGGGAAACAGAAGGCCGCCCTGGGCTGTGGAGGGCAGCGAGATCGATGACAGGCCTTCTGCTGTTCTGAGTTCAATAAAAAAGTACAACCCCCCAAATAACATTCAGTTGAGAAGATTCATGAGGCATGAGGTAAATGGCCTGTACAAATGTCTGACTGAGGGGAGAAGGGAGCCATGGTAATGATTTTACCTGCCCCAAGGGAAGAGAAGCCAGAATTGGACGGGAAGTGATTGACTTATAATTACACTGACTGGGGACCCTGGGGTTGTGACCACAGAAAATTACTCAAGTTTTCCATAGCCCTAGAGCATCCACAAAACCCCCAAAGCCCAAGGCTCCAAAGCAAGTTGGCTACAGTCACCTCTGGGTCTCTCAGGAGGAAGTGCGGTATGTATAGTGGGCACTGGGATGTTGGCCAGCCCAAGGGGGTCAGGGTGAAGCTGTGGATGGGCCTGTTTCAGGGACCTACCCACCCAGGACCATGGACGGCCGTGTGGGGGGCAGGGGATGAGTCAGAAAGGGAACATTTTTCATGCTTAAGCTGTGAAGAAAATGTGAGGCTCCCATCCTCCCAGCTTCCAAGGACACTGGAATGGGGTGGTAGGGCCCAGTGGCCAGGACAGACAAATGAATGACTCTTACTTAGCTCAAACCCACAGTTCCTTCAGTCTCTGCTTTCAGAGTCTGGGAGAGACGTCCGAAGTGACTTGAGGGAATGCAGCCATTCTTGTTGATCTCAGTGTCTGTACCTGCAGACACCCTAACAGACATGCCTGCTGGGAATTCATCCAGCCCTTTTGAAACCCACTTCTATTTCTAATGAATTTCCCTTAGTAGTACTGTTAGCAGTAAGGGCTGTGACCAGTTAGGGGGTAGAGCCAGGTTGGGTAGGTCAAGAAAGGCACTAGCATCTTTCGACCAAAGTTTGCTGCACTAGGTGTCTGCTATCATCTGCGACTCTGGTCCAGGTGCTTTGGGAGAGCAAGGCTGGCATAGTTCTGAAGAGAATTCTCAACTCCCATCAGCCCCAGTAATTCCATCAAAATTCTTACCAGAGTTCTAAACAAGAAGGTGAATTAAAAACTTGAGTTTTCTCTCTATGTATTTTCCTAGCCCACACAGTAAGCAGTTATTGCAAGTGAAATAAATATCTGAAAGCTGTAAATGATGGCTTTGCAGTTATGTTTTTCCAAGGGCCATTCATTGTATTTCCTCTGAAGTAAGGAGGCAGTGGTGAGAGAGACTTATTGAACCAACTGCCTGCAGGTGCCCCTGCCTCACACAGATTCTTCCCTCCATGGCATCACCAGTGAAATATCCACTGAGTCACATCAATTCAGCCAGAAAAATACACACGTTTCCCCATTTCTAATAAAGCCAGCATGTTATTTTAGGCTGCTTAGGTGAGCCTTCTAGAATTCCAGACAGAGGCTGAGCAAAGCTTGTCATTTGATGACATTTCCAGTAAAAGCATTGAAATGACAGCAATGATTTCAAAGCCCAAAGTGAGATGCCCAAATGGTATCTGGAATTTAAAAGGGCTTAAAAGAGGGCTTCCCTGGTGGCGCAGTGGTTGAGAGTCCGCCTGCCGATGCAGGGGACACAGGTTCGTGCCCCGGTCCTGGAAGAACCCACATGCCGCGGAGCAGCTGGGCCCGTGAGCCATGGCCGCTGAGCCTGCGCGTCCGGAGCCTGCGCGTCCGGAGCCTGTGCTCCGCAACGGGAGAGGCCACAACAGTCAGAGGCCCGCGTACCGCAAAAAAAAAAAAAAGGCTTAAAAGTTAAAACTAGCTCAGCGTCTCCCGCATGTCTGCCCCCCCTCTTCCTCAGAGCTGAATGGAAAGTAAACACCCCATAGATCCAGATCTGCCACAGTGTTAGCAAGCAAAATGCAGAGCAGGTCACAGTATTTCTAATTCAGATTAACGACCCCACTCAGCCCTGTCTCCTTAGCAGGAAATTAGAAAGTGTAGGAAGGAGCAAATAGTGATTCATAATGCGTGACTCTGGGGTATTGGCAGTTGTGCTCGTTAAAAGCGAAGATACTGTTTTGATATAAAATAATTGAGTCTGACTTATTTATGGGATAAAGTGTTCTCCATAATATGAGCTCCCTTTTACAAACCAGCTGGTTACATACCCATATGCTTGAAGGACAGAAGAACTGACCTTTGCCCATTTTATGTTTACTGCAGTTCTGTCAGACACAGTAATTTAGGGTAATAGGCTGGTAGGCTGTTGCACTTTTCTTGTACTCTGCTGTTGATTCTTTCTCTCTTCTTCCTCCCATGGTCATCTCTCCTCACCAGGGCTGAGTTCCCACCTTCTGTTCTCCACCCTCCACGCTCACTTCTTCAGGGAACTTACTTAATTAGGGGGCTTCATTTATCACCTGTTTGCAAACAGCCATGACCTATTCCCCAAGTTTTATTATCTCCCCTACTTCTTAGCGCATGTGTGCACATGCGTGCGCACACACACGCACTTCCATTAGATTCACATAGACTTAGGTATAGAACCAGACCTGTTGTCATCCCCATGTAAATTCCTTTCCTCCTCTAAATCCTCATTTGCATATCTGTTCGTTCCTTCCTTTGCCCTCCATATCTTGTCTGTCACCATGAGCTTCCCTTTCCTCTTTGGATTCAGTTATTTCCGCCATTTGCACATTCAGTATGTAAGCTTGACTCAGACTCTTGTTTAGGAGACAGAAACGATTTTTTTGAATAAAAATCATGCAAAGCTCAGTCCCTGGGCATGCCTAATAAACCTTTCCCTATGAGGATGCATTCTTTGTTTTCTGCTGCAGGGAACATGTCTACTCTCAGATCTCACACCAAAATAGTGTTGATGAGAAACAGAAAAAGTTGGATGAGCTTTAGAAATAATTGCACCTGAGAAGTCATTTCCAAACCTGTATGTGTATTACAATCTCCTTTTTAAAAATGCAGATTCCTGTTAAATCTGAATCTCATCTACCATTCTCCTCTTGCACACGCCTCTTCTGCCACTAGTCTCCTTTCTTTGAACACACTGAGCACATTTCTGTCTCAGGGCCCTTTGTACTTCCTCTTTGGAACTCTCTGCACCTAGATGTCTACACTGGTTTGTTCTGATGGATATTATCTCCTCAGAGAGGTGAACACACTAAGACAGAGTCCTCTATCTGCCCATTTGTAACAAGGGATTCAAAGAATCCCTTGTTACATTATGTACTTATTATTTCCTGTCAGCTATCCTTCCTGAATAGCTCCTTGAGGGCAGAGATTTTTTTTTTTTTTTTTTTTTTTGCGTTACCCGGGCCTCTCACTGTGGTGGCCTCTCCCGTTGCGGAGCACAGGCTCCGGACACGCAGGCTCAGTGGCCATGGCTCACGGACCCAGCCGCTCCGCAGCACGTGGGATCCTCCCCGACCGGGGCACGAACCCGCGCCCCCCGCATCGAGCAGGCGGACTCCCAACCACTGCGCCACCAGGGAAGCCCGAGGGCAGAGATTTTTGTCTGTTTGGTTTACAGCTTTATCCTCAGAGCTAGAAAGAAGCTTTACACATGGTAGGCACTCCAGCAATGTCTGCTGAATCAGTGCCCAAAAATTGGATCAGAATCCAGGAAGGCTTGTTTTAGAACAGTGGTTCTTCAAGTGTGGTCCCTGCGCCAGCAGATTCAGCATCACTTGAGAAATGGTTAGCAATGCAAGTTCTTGGGCTTCCCACCAGTCCTGCTAAATCCGAAACTGGGAGGCAGCTGTGTGAGTTTTGACAAGCTCTCGAGGTGACTCTGACACTGGGGAAAGCTTGAGAACCGCTGCTCTAAGACATTGTTTGGGTGCCACGTTATCTTTTGCACTTACTACTATCTGTCAAGACAGAAAAAAAAACCTGGCGGCACTCATGTTCGACATTTACGCTAATCTTAGACTATTTCCTGATTGTTTCAGATGCATTAGTTCAGGAAGCTGGCTTGTCCTGTGGTCGTCAAGTATCAGGAAGAACTCAGTACACCTTTGTTGGCTGGTTGATTTTGCAAGTCCTTGGATGTTCCTTTTTTTAGCTTTAAGTGATATATAGAAAAGTATACTCTTCCACTTAGAGTTAATACAGGTATGTATGCTATTAAAATGTAGAAAATACGTTGATTAAAAATACTTGCACGTTGGTTAATTTTGACTCATTTTATTACTTGTTAAGAAAGTATTAAAGAAGTTAAGTGCATAGGCTTAGGAGTTGGATTTGGGCTGGGTCAGGCCTTAGTTGGTAAAATGGGTCGTAATACCTGCCTTGGAGAATTAATAGCACTGGCTCACAGTGGGTACTCAAAGTAGCTATTATTAATAATGATAATATTTGGCATTTTTATAACTTAAAATATGTAACATTTTATTATCCTGGGAGGTGTGTGTGTATGTAAGTGTAATTATTAAGGCCCACAGAAGACAGTGGAAAGTGTATTTTAGAACACCGGTTCTCACAAAGTGGTCCTAAGACCAACAGCAGCAGCATCACGTTGGGATTACTAGAGGTGCAAATTTCTGGGTCCCACCCAGATCTACTGACACAAATCTAACAGTGTGGGCTGACTACTGCCTGTTTTAAAAAGTTCTCCAGGTGGTTCTGATGCATCCTAAGCTTTGGGAACCCTGCTTTAAAAATCACTCTCTCCCTCTCCCTCCCCCTCCCC